GCTCCCTCCTTCTTCCTCTCTTTTCCTAGCCTCCCCCCTGCCCTCGATGCTGCCCCATCTTCTTCCCCATGGACAAATTGCCGGTAGAGATCCTCACCAAAATCATCGACCGTAAGAGCCCACCTTTCCGTTCCCCCGCACCCGTTGACCCCGTCGGCCTCAAGCTGATCAACAGGAGAAGACCTCACCCCGCGTGAAAAAGTACAGCTGCAATCGGTCTCCAGGAAGCTCTTTAACCTCGCCCGCGACAATAACCTCTGGCGCCTACATTGCTACGAGCAGTCATGGTCCGCCCTGCGGACCTCGCGTCTCGCCGGCGGGACCTCCGAGAGTCTGAGTACACACCAGCCGGCATCTCTGACAACACTGGGACAGGCATCTCTGCGCGATTTGATTCAACCGCCGGCGCCGCAGCCAGAAAACGGCGTGTCCGATGGAGCGCCGCGGGGAATGTCGCTTGGTGAGAAAGCAAGGGCGGCGGCGGAATGGGATTCCTCGGCGGAGGGCGAGGATGTCGATTGGTACTCGGAATATATTGCCCGGCATGGTCCAATCTCACTTGCCTGGGTGCAACAGCCTCGGGTTCGGAATGCAGCGGGTCGATGGTGGGAGCGCTGTGAGGTCAGGGGCATGGGACTGTTGAAGGATTGGAGTTCCGCACGACAGAACAAGATCGTGGCGCCGTTGGATGATGGAAGTGTTTGCATTTGGGATTTGAATCATTCCCACTGCACGGATTCACGGACGACCAAGGGACGGGTTATTGGGGTCAGCGAGCCGGGGATCCTCATGACCGACTTGTCGGGACGCAGCAGAGAGAACTCGGCCTCGAAGACGGCGCTCGAGTTTATCAATTTGGGCGAGTGCGTGAGCGTGGACTCGCTGCGCCAGCGGGCCTATCTAGCTGTTGGCAACGTACTGAATGAAGTCGATCTAGCCACGCTGAAGGTGGTCTCGCAGCAGCGCTATCCCTGGTCGATCTTCGCCCTCTCCCAGGAAACGGACTACTCTGTGCCGTTGACTTTGGCTACCACACTCAGTCTTCAAATATACGACTCTCGCTTATCAGCCGTCGAAGAAGAGGAAGCCATCAGTTTGCGTTGCGAGAAGGTGGCGCCTTCTTTTGTGCCGGAATCGGGCATCTTCGCACCCCCAGACTCGCCATTACTCAAACTCCAACCAAATGGCCAGCCGCCGCACCGCATACGCAGCCCAGACCCTTCCGAAAAGGGCGCCAATTATGCTCCGCTCTTTCAGCCGGGTCCTCTCTCCATCCTCCATCCTCCCGCCCCGCATGTAAATTCCATTCTCCTTGCTGGCCGCTTCCCCAGCATTCTGTGTTATGACCGGCGTTTCTTCCCACGCCTACAGAACACTGTTCATTCAGGCGGTCGACTATGCGGACTTGCTTCCGTGCCTGAGCCACGGTTTCCCGTCTTTGCGGACAGTCGGTATCCGGATTCGCACTCCGTGGTGGCCTGTGGCGAGTACAATGGTCGAGGATCACTCGAACTATACAGTCTGCAGCCTTCATCGCAGACCTACACTACGAACGACAGCAGCCCCTCGACAATGTCTTCCCATCTGACAGCCGAATATAAAAATAGGCAGCGTGCCGCCAGCTCCAAGTTGCTGTCCGTGGGATCTCACGGAAACCGCCTGGTCTTCTCCGACGCAGAAGGCAACATCAAATGGGTCGAGCGAGACGGCCGCTCGGAAGTCCGACGCTGGAACATCAACACGTCTACACCTCAGTTCCCCTTTTCGCGCAACGGCCAATCACCATCTGCGAGACTGGGCTCACCGCGCGGCCTCTGGCCCGACTCGCAATCCAACCAAAACCACGAGGTGGCTCGCAAGATCTTACCGACGGGCGGCAATTTGACCGGTGATGAGCTGTTGGTATGGACCGGGGAACGCATCGGTCGACTAAGGTTTTCTATTCCGGCCGACTACGACGAGGAGGTTGAAGAAGAAAACGGGGACGAGGACTTGTTCATGGAGGCCGAGGTCGACGAAGCTACGCGGGAGACGATGCGGCAGAAGCATCGGGATGAGTGGGAGGCCGAGCGACGGTATGAAGAGGGGATGCGGCGGGTTCTAGAGAGACAGGCGGATGAGGTGCGGTGGATGGGGGGGATGGGGGAGATCCAATAGTTATTCCTATAGACGGCATACCCTAACTACATACTATATTTCGAAATACCAAGCCCTAATTGTAACTATACTTCCTCGGTCTGGCCTGACTCACCGCCCGGCTCCAGTCGGCTCGGCTCTCCCCGCGACATCACGAGCCATTTCTAAGCCTTGGTCAGCCGGTGACTTTCAGGTGGCGGCATTCGTTCGTGTCGTGGACTGACTGTGTTAATTTCCCTTCTCACATCTTTCTCCGCTTCTGCACTCTTCTCTTCGGGCAAGGCCCCAGCGCGACAATTGCGGGACAAAATGCCCTCTCCGACAGAACCCGTCCACCAATTCGACTCGATCGAAGATACCATTGCCGCATTTAGTGAGTGCTAGCCTCTCGGGAAGCCCATCCAACAGTTCCGAGAAGGGAATTCGGAAATAGTGAGCTAACGGCGCACCCAGAAAATGGCGAATTCATCATCGTTCTCGACGACCAAGACCGCGAGAACGAAGGCGACCTCATCATAGCCGCGGAATCCATCACCCCCGCGCAGATGGCCTTCTTGGTCCGGTATACAAGGTAAACACTTCCTTGTCACGCACCCACATTCTCTTCCTACGCAAGGATATCCTTACTGACTACCTCAAACAGCGGATTGATATGCGCGCCCATCACCCCATCCCTCGCCTCCCACCTCGCCCTCCCGCAAATGGTAGCAGAGAACGCCGACCCCAAGTGCACAGCCTACACGATCACAATCGACTCAAGCGACGCCTCCGTAACGACGGGGATATCGGCGTCCGACCGCGCGCTCACCTGCCGCACGCTGGCCTCGCCGTCCGCAACAATCGACTCCTTCCGGCGACCGGGCCACATCATCCCGCTCCAGGCCCGGCCCGGCGGCGTGCGCGAGCGCAAGGGCCACACCGAGGCTGCGGTGGATTTCTGTCGGCTGGCTGGGAAGCCGGAGGCCGGCGTGATTGCGGAGTTGGTGGAGGATGGGCAGTGTGTGGAGGGCGTGCCGGAGATCGGCGGGAAGAATGGCATGATGCGTCGGGATGGGTGCTTGCAGTTTGGGAAGCGGTGGGGGATTAAGGTGTGTACGATTGAGGATTTGGTGGCGTACTTGGAGAGGACGGAGGGGGTAAGCAATGGGAAGAAGCTTTGATTTGAGACTTTGGGGCTTGTATATTTGGATCTTGTTTTTCTTTCTGTGTAGATCATTGGCTCTGCTCTTTGGATAGACATCAACATGAAAAAAATGAACGGTTATGTTTATGAGTGCGTTAATTGGTTTATTGGGTATCTAATCGTACGAGGTCACATAATGTACAAATGGCATCGAGAAGAAAAAAGGTCATGTGAGAAACGGGAATTGTCCCAACGCCGGGTCCATGCTGAAAGAAAGAAAAAAGGGCGAGAGACATCACATCACCGCTTCAGATGAGAGTAGTCCCGCAGAATACCCATCATGTGCGTGTTGGTAGTCTTGCCACTGCGCCGGGGCTTCTTGGTCTTCTTCTGTTCCACCTTGGGCCGCGCCTTAATCACCTTGTTCTTGTTGGTAGGCGTGATGCCGGCCCTCTCCAGCTCCTCCTTGACATCCTGCGCACCCGGGACCTTGATCTTTTCCCAGATCTGCTTGAACTCGTCATCGAAGTGCTCCATCAGCGAGGGATCATTTGCCCACACCATCTTGGCATGGTCATCCTTCTTGTTCCGCGTCACGAGCAGCTTCCCTTCCTTCTCCATCTGGTTGATCGCTTCCTCAACATTCGGCCACCCCTCTCGAAGATCACGGACACTCATCCCCGCTGCGGTCGTCTGCGCTTGCAGGTGCTGCAGCAGTTGTTCGGGAGTGCGGATGTTGTGCGGGGGACGGAAGCTGAAGGTACCCTCGCCGTTTGCGCCGCTCGGATCGAAATTGACCTTCTCGTGCATCTGGAGAATGCTCCGGAGGGCGCGCATGTAGCCCGGGTCATTTTCGCGATGCTGCAGGGAGAGGTACGAGACGATATTGTCAAACTTGAGCGGCACGCCCTTGGTTTTCATGTGCTCGATCGCAAAAAGGACCTGCGTCATGATGTCCCTGCCCGTGCCGGTGTTGGCGGGCTGCGAGTAGACGATGTCGACATCGTGACGCTTCTTCTTGGCTTCGCCGGAGGATGAAGGAGTCGGCGCAGACGAAGGGACTTGCGAGCTGCTGGCCGAGGCGTTGGTGACACCGCGCCGTTGCTGGGGCATGCGGTTCGCCGACTCCATAACGCTGGCGTTGAAGCTCTTGAGCTTGTTCTGTAGGTAAGACATGATGGCGATGGTGGATCACAGACGCTCAGACTCGGGCGAAGTGAATCGAAGGAGAGGCCAAGTCCAGATAGAGCTGGGCGAGAGCCAGGCGTGACCTTTGTAGGAGCCAGGTCGAGCTCTCGGGGTTCCTAGTCAATAATACTGAGCATAGGATGGTGGCAGTGATGAGACTGGAAGAGAATAGAGCAGCCTGGGCTGATGGGAGTTGACGAAAGGCAAAGGTCAGAACAAGCGTTCAAGAAGAGCCGCGGTCCACGTGACCCAGCTAACCGCATCGGGCAAGCTCGCCAACCCCGTCGCCGCGATCGAAACTCGCCCTTCGACACACCTCAACCCGCCAATTACCCTCACTCATCTCTCCCTTATTATTGGCGTGTCTTTCTTCATATCCCTGTCCCTCTCTTTCTCTTGCAACGCAATGTCATAAGCTTTTCCAGCAGCGCATTGTGTACGTGTCTGAGAACTGTACACATTGCGCGTTGGACAGCTCCTGCTTTGCGCCGCGCCATTACACTCCCCAACACGCGCGGCCCAACAGCTCGCAGCTGTTGAAACGTCAATCATCATGGCAGACGCTGCAGTTGAACTTCCTTATCTATCCACTCATTATACAATCCCAGAAGCTACGCTCTCCACCCTGACGCAGGCCCCGACCGTGGATCTTGTCAATCAGCTGTTGGCATCCATCACCAAAAAGGCACATGAGTACGATGAACTTAAGTCCGACAAACTGCGCTTGGATGTTGAGCTGGAGAATGCGGTGCGCAGCAATGAATCAAAGATCAAGGTTTTGAAAGGCACCGTGGAGAAGGGCCACAAGGAGGTCGAGGATTTGAGGAAGAAACTAAACGAGTCAGGTAAGCTGGACCTTTGTGTTTGTGATGATATAGACATCTCCATTCTGACGCGATTAGAAACCGCTCGTTCTGCTCTGGAGTCAGAGATTTCTACGCTCAAATCATCTTCCACGTCAAACGAGTCCGAAGCCACATCCCTGAAGTCTCGCATCTCGTCTCTCGAAGCCTCCAATCGCGATACGCTGGCTTTACTTGAGTCGAAGTCTGCTGCTCATGATAAATTGGCCGAGGAGCTTTCGACGCAGCACAAGAAGACCATCGAGCTGCGGCGAGAACTTTCCACCGCGGAACAGAATCTTCAGAGTGCGAACTCGGCCTCTGCTAGCGCACGATTCCGCGAGCAGAACCTTCAGCAAGAGCTTGACCTCACAAAGAAGAACAACGAATGGTTTGAGACCGAGCTGAAGACCAAATCCGCCGAGTACATCAAGTTCCGCAAAGAAAAGAGTGCGCGGATCTCCGAACTGCAACGCGAGAATGAGGAGGCGAATTCGACCATCGACTCCCTGCGACGCAGCGAGAACTCTCTCAAGAGCCGTTTGGACGAAACGGAACACCGCTACGAAGAATCCCTGGCCAGCATCCAGCAACTGAAGGAAGAAGCAATCCAGGCTGATGAGTCTTCCCGAATTGAGCGTGATAGCCTCAAGCGACTTGCCGAGTTGCATGGATCTTCAGCGGAGACAGCCAAGAAGCGTGTGCAAGAATGTCAATTTGCGTTGGAGAAGGCCAAGGATGATGCAGCGGAGGAGATCTCGCGCCTCCGTGTCGAAATCGAGACCGAACACGCCGACAAGCAAGCAGCTGAGCGTCGTGTTGCCGAGCTTGAGATAACCGTCAGCCAGCTCGAGTCTGAAGGACCCAGGCTTGGATCTATGAGCCCTGCTCGTTCGCTGAATGGAGCAGGCCCCAGCACCCCAATGCGGGCCGGAACTCCCGGCAGCACCTTCTCTCCTCGGGCCTCTCGTGGCAAGGGTAATCTCACGTTGACCCAGATGTACACAGAATACGACAAGATGCGCACTCAGCTTTCGAGAGAGCAGAAGAACAACCAAGAGCTTCAGTCGACGCTGGATGAGATGATGCAAGAACTCGAATCAAGCAAGCCTGAGATCGACGAACTTCGCGCAGACCACTCCCGCCTTGAAAACGCGGTTGTGGAGATGTCCAACATTCTCGAAACGTCTGGTAAGGAACGTGATGACGCGACCAAGGAAGCGAGAAAATGGCAAGGTCAGGTTGAGGGTCTTGCCCGTGAAGGAGATATCCTACGCCAACAACTTCGGGATCTGAGCGCCGAGGTTAAGGTTCTCGTTTTGGAGGTTGCCGTTGCGAAACAGGGCGAAGACTATGACCGTGAGGAGCTGGAGAAGATCGCCCGCAACGAGATCGAAGAGTCCGCCGCCGACCTCAACCCAACTGGTCGCTTCATCAGCCGAAACTTGACCACGTTCAAGGACCTCCACGAACTCCAGGAGCAAAATGTTACTCTTCGGCGTATGCTGAGGGAACTTGGGGACAGGATGGAGGGCGAGGAAGCCCGTGCGAAGGATGTCGTCCGCCAACAAGAGCACGAAGAGCTGAAGGATCTGCGGATCCGTGTGCAGACCTACCGCGACGAAATTGCCAACTTGGTCGCCCAGACGAAGAGCTATGTGAAGGAACGCGATACCTTCCGTAGCATGCTCACTCACCGACGCCAGCCTGTCGGAGACCCCTCCGTCTTCTCTCAATCCGTCCCACTCGGCGCAGCTCCTCTGGGCGCCAGCACCAGCAGCCAGGCCAATGATGCTCCAGATTACGCCGAGCTACTTCGAAAAGTCCAGGCTCATTTCGATAGTTTCCGTGAGGAGACCGCCACCGACCACAAATCCTTACGGCAGCAGGTCAATGAGCTCTCCCGAAAGAACAGCGAGTTGATGAGCGAAATCAGTCGGTATAGCAGTCAACTTGCTACCGCTTCCCAACGCGCCGAGTTACACCAGAGCAACTTCAATATGCTTAAGACTGAGAACGGCGAACTCCAAAAGCGCTGTAACACGCTTTTTGAGCAAGCCAACCGACAAGACCTTCGGACACAGCAAGCGGCCGAGGATCTCGTGGAGGCAAAGGGCCTGGCGGAGAGTCTCCAGCGGGAGAATGCCAACCTGAAAGCGGAGAAGGAGCTGTGGAAAAACATCGAGAAGCGGTTGATCGAGGACACGGAAACCTTGCGGAACGAACGCAGCAGACTCGACTCCCTAAACGCCAACCTGCAGACTATCTTGAACGAGCGAGAGCACTCGGATGCTGAGAGTCGCCGCCGACTCCAATCGAACGTCGAATCACTGGAGTCTGAACTGCAATCCACCAAGCGAAAACTAAATGACGAGCTCGAGGAGTCGAAGAAGGCCACTCTTCGCCGAGAATATGAGCACGAGCAGAGCCAGAAACGCATTGACGATCTGGTTACCAGCCTGGGCGCCGTGCGCGAAGAATTGGTCGCTTTGAAGACGACAAGAGACCACCTGCAGGCACGCAATGACGAGCTGTCTGTTGGACTCCGAAGCGCCGAGGAACGCCTCCAAGTTCTTCAAACTCGTCCTAGTGTTGTTCCTGGCGCGACTGACGATACCACTGTGGTCATGCAGGAGGCTGGCGAGGGCGGTAGTCTGACCCGCGAGCAGGAGCTTGCCATCGAAGTTTCCGAACTGAAACGTGACCTTGAACTGGCGAGGACTGAGCTCGAACACGCAAAGGAACGAGTCGAGGACTACCAGGCCATCAGCCAGGCCACGGAAGAACGGCTGCAGTCGGTCACCGAAACTCAGGATCAGTATCGTGAAGAGACCGACCGTCTTGTTGAGGAGAAGGACAAAAAGATCCAGGACCTCGAAACGCGGATTGAAGAAATCTCTTCGGAGTTGTCCAATACCAACAACGAGGTGTCTAAGCTTCGTGAGGAGCAAGGTGACGCTACGCGCCGTCTCGAGGAGCAGAAGACCACCTTTGAGGCAGATATTGCTCGACTGAAGGACGACAATGAACGACACGTCGCTGCTGCCCAGTTCCACCAGGAAGACCTGAAAGCCCAGGCCGAAATCGCCCAACACGCACAACAAAACTACGAAAGTGAGCTTGTCAAGCATGCCGAAGCAGCGAAGAACCTTCAGACAGTTCGTGCCGAAGCCAATCAACTGAAGCTCGATATCGCCGAAGTGAGGTCCCAAGCCGAGACCTACAAGAGAGATCTGGCCCAGAAGGAGGAGAGCTGGGTGGAGATGAAGGCCAGATACGAAAGCGAGCTTGCTGAGTTACAGAAACGCCGGGAGGAAGTCCTTCACCAGAACTCTCTTCTGCACTCGCAGCTGGAGAATATCAGCGCCCAGATCTCTGCCTTGCAACGCGATCGCGCCAATGTCGCCGAAAATGAGGAGCAGGAAGGAGAGCAGATGGCACCAAACCTGGAGGGCCTCCAGGAGGTCATCAAGTTCCTGCGTCGTGAGAAGGAGATAGTTGATGTTCAATACCATCTCTCGATGCAGGAGAGCAAGCGTCTCCGCCAGCAACTTGACTACACTCAATCTCAACTGGACGAAACGCGCCTCAAGCTTGAACAACAACGTCGTGCTGCTGCTGATAGTGAGCACAATACGCTCAACCACAACAAGCTTATGGAGACGATCAACGAGCTCAATGTTTTCCGTGAGAGCAGCGTAACGCTTCGTAACCAACTCAGGCAGACCGAGACTGCGCTGGCGGAGAAGTCTGCTCGTGTCGATGAACTTAACCACCAAATTGAGCCTCTCGGTGCCAAGATCCGGGAATTGGAGAATTTGTCCGAAACCAAGGATGGCGAGATGCAGTTGCTCCAAGCCGACCGCGATCGTTACCAGCAGCGCATACAAGACATTCTCCAGAAATACGACCGAGTGGATCCGGCCGAGATGGAAGAGTTGAAGCAGAAGCTCGCCACCCTCGAAAAGGAACGCGACGAAGCTGTGTCCGCACGGGATACTCTACAAACCCAGGCCACCACGTTCCCCGAACAGCTCAAACAGGCCGAGGATCAGAGGCAGGACCTGAAAGCAAAGCTCACCGAACAATTCAAGGCGCGGTCGAAGGATCTTACTGGGAAGGTCAACAGCAAGCAAATGGAGTTGAATGTGGCCTTGCAGGAGAAGGAGGTTATCCAAGAGGAACTGAAGACTACGAAGGCAGAGCTGGAAGGGCTGAAGAGCAAAATGGCCGAGACGCCAGCTCCGGCCGCCACTCCGGCCCCGGCTGCCGCACCGACTGCGGATGCCACCGAAACCGATACTGTCAACCCTACACCTGCGTCCCAGTTCCCGACTACAACGACCCAAGTTACCACCACTCCTGCTGATGAGCAGAAGATCAAGTCTCTGGAGGAGAAGATCAAACGCCTGGAAGCAGCTCTTGCTGAAAAGGACGGTCTGCTGGCTGCGAAGGACGCCGAGCAGGCGGCCAAGATCAAGGAACGCTCCGACAAGCTCAAGGAAATGTTCAACAGCAAGCTGGCCGAAATTCGGGCCGCCCACCGAGCCGAGATTGAGAAGCTGTCTGCTGGTGGTAAACAGCCTGATGCTCCGGATACTCCGGCAGTGGGCGATCAACAACAAGCATCGGCGCCACCAACGCCGTCAAAGACCGTCGAGCTTCCCGAGTTGACCGACGCTCAGGCCAGAGAGCTTGTTCACAAGAACAAAACCATTCAGACCATCGTCCGCAACAACATTAAGACCTTGATCCACCAGCAAAGAGAGAAGGAGAAGCAGGAGGCCCAAGCCCAGGGATCATCTGCTGGGGACAACGGAGAAGCGATGGCGGAGTTGGAGAAGAAGTACAACGAGGAGAAGGAGGCGCTCAAGAAGGCGTACGAAGAGGAACTGGGCGAGAAGATCAAATCTGCAGTTGAGCTGTCCGACAAGAAGTCACTTGCCCGGATCAGCATGCTCGACACTCGATTCCGCACTTCTCAGGCCAAGATCGATGTGGTCCAAAAGGCTGCTACTGAGACTCCACAGAAGCCCGTGGTGGAAGTGTGGGAAGTGGCCAAGATGGCCAAGCCCGCTCCTGCTGCCGCTCAAACACCAAAGCCAGCCGCGTCTCCCGCGCCGGCAGTCACACCACAGCCTCCTGCTGCACCCTCTCCTGCTCCGGCCCCCGAACAAACAGTGAAAGCACCCGATGCGGATGAAACCGCCGCCAATGATGAGGAGCAACAAGAAGGCGGCGAGGCCGTCGCTCCTGCGAATCCATTTGGCCAACTCCAACAAAATCAGCAAGGCAAGCAGCAACCTACGTCTCTGCCCAGCAAACCACCAGCAGGCACCGCTCCGGGTATGCTACGAGCTCTCCAATCTGGATTGCCGGTTGCGCGAGGCGGACGGGGTGGACGCGGTGGTGGCCAACAGAATCCCTTCGGCCATCAACAACAGCAAGTCGATCAGCAACAGCAGCAACAAGGCCAGGCCCAGACTCAGCAGACTCAGCAGAGTCAGCGTGGCAGCGGTCTTCCACGTGGTCGTGGCGGCCGAGGCCAAGGCCGCGGTGGAAACCAGAACGCCAGTGCTGCGCAGACCCAACCGAGCCAGGGCCAATCGAGTCCAACAGCAGCTCGTGGCGGTGGTGCCTTGAATGTGCAAGCGCGCCAGTTCATTCCACAAGGGAACAAGCGCACGCGCGAAGAGGGCCCCGACGCCACTGCTGATAGTGCAACCGGAGGCAAGAGAATGCGAGGTGGCGGCGGCGGACAAGCTCGTGGTGGTGCTGGTTCTTCCTGATTTTCTAGAAGGCTTCTTCATGTATCTTTGTTACCATTTTGTGTTGTACTCTTTTAGTTTTTGATGTTTTTTTATGTATGTTTTCATGTGGTTGAAGGGTCATCGAGGAAGCCCTCCTCCCCTTTCGAACATGGGTCAGAGCATAATATCTATTTTCTTTTGTTTTGTGATGTTTCAGTACCCTATTAGCATCGGATTTGTTGCGGGGGTGCTGAATGGATGTATTACCGAGTTCTCCATATCCAAGTAGCTAATAGTCTATGTATTCCATTTGGAAAGTAATGTACAGAGGGGTGGGTATAAGCAGTAAAAGACAAGAATCTCCGAACCAACTGATGACAGCAACCAAGCTGCTCCGTCGCCAAGTACAGGAGAGATAGCCATGGCCATAGACTGAAACATGGTCTACCTCTTCTTCGCACCAGCAATCATCTTCCCCAAGGCCTCCCTCTCCCTCACAAGAACCATCAACCGTGCATCCTCAATCAACTTTCCTTCCGGTGCAGACCCGGGCACAGGCACCTGGGCAGCATTCGCCGCAACACGCACAGCCGAACAAGGAGGCCTTGCACCTCTCGCACGTGCTCGGCGCTGACCGACCCCAGACCCCCAGACAACCGTCCACTCAGGGACGCGTCCATTCTGCGGAACGACGCAGCCCGCGCAGACCTTGGCGTGGGACCCGACCTCTGCACCGCGGCGGATGGTCGCCAAACTGTCGATTGCGGCGGCGGAGTGGATGTGCGAACCCGGGAGAACGGAGGAGAGGGGGCCGATGGTGACGAAGTAGGATATGCGGATTGGGAGGCCTTGCTCTGGTGCTGGCGTGTGTATGGTTTGTGTGGTGTCATCGGTAGGTGTAGACGGAGACGGAGAAGCTGTTCTCGAACTCGACGCGCTGCGCTCTTTCGACGCCGACTCTGGCGCAGCGCCAATCACGGCTTTCTCGCTGATGATGCATCCATCCCCGATTATGATCGGTCCCTCGAAGGAATAGAATCGTGCGCGTGGGTGGATGACCGTGCCGGGGCCGATGGTTATGGGGTGCGTGCCTTGGAAGACGGCCGTGTCGGCGATTGTGGCGGTGGGGTCTGCTTTGAGGGGGGCGCGAGGAGGGCCTGGCGGGTTGGAGGAGGAGCGGTGGGTTGCTGAGGGAGGTTTTAGGGTGGCCATCGCTGTTATTGTTGTTGTTGCTGTGGTCGAAGTGGTCGGGGTGGTCGGGGTGGTTCCGCGGAGGTGAAGACAGTGGGTCAAAGCTCGCCCTACTACATACACAGCAGGATCTATATCCATAGACAGTATCTCTGAAATTCGGTGTCCTTCATGTCTAGGTAGTATATTCGGGTATCTCAATCTAATCACAAGGTAGTTACAATATATAAATAAAAAAATCACTCCCCGTCCGCGCGCTGCTTAATGCCGTTCCGTTTCCTCCAGGCCATGACCCCACGATCAAACTCGTCGCGAGTCATTCCATCGCGTACCAGACAAAAGGTAACCCCCAGCTCGGTCTCAACATTGCGATTCCGAGCCTCGTCATCAAAGAACAGCATATCCTCATACTCGACCCCGCTGGCCAGCTGAATCTTCGCAAAATGCGCCGTCTTGCTCGCAGGGAAGATCTGGATATAATCGAAATGATCCAGTGCGCGGGTCGTCTTCATCGCGTTCGCGGCAGGATTGTCAGAAAAGGAAGGGATGATATGCAGAGCCTTCAGCATGTCGCGCGCTAGGTCTGGGGCGTGGGTGCGCGATGCGAGCGCGAGCGGGATCTCGCGGCCGTTGCAGGCGTGCACGATTGACGAGACCGCGGGGTAGAAGGCGAACGACTCGCCCCAGCGGTCGACGGCGCGGGAGTTGTTGTCGCGCGGTTTCACCGGCGCGCTGACATGCGTGTCGACCCAGAAGGGCCAGAGCGTGTAGTCGAGGTCGAAGGCGATGAGTTTCGGGAGCGGTTGGCCGTCTGTGAAGGTGGCCGGGGCCACGGAGGCGTCTTCGAGTGGCAGTGTGTTTTGGCGCTTGGCTTTCATGGTTGGTAGAGGTAAGGGGAAAAAATCTAGGAAGAAAGAGAAAACCGTGGACAGAAGAGGGAATTTCGTGGGTCGAAGGGAGATGGAGCCGTGGGTCCCCGCACGGGGCCAGTCTAGTGGATTGGTGGATTGGGGAAGTATAAGAGTGATGATGATAATGAGCATTGTTGTTGACTATCTAGGTATACTGCTTGAAACAACATCAGAAGAAGTTAACAATATCCTTGAACTCATCCAGCAGCAGCGGGTCGATATCTTCCCACTCATCAGAGACCTTCATCGCCTTGTGCTCGATCTGCGCCGGTTCCTCAGGAGTGGTGGCGAACCTCGAAGGAGCATGCTTGACCCGTTTCTCATGCTGAAACAACTGCCCTTCCACTCCATCCATCTTGCTAGCCTTTCGCTTGGGTTTGCGCGATCCGTTTGCCTTCGACGGGAGCAGTGCCACAACGTCTCTCGAAGCCTCAGTCTCTTTGAGATCCTTGGAGATCTCCGGTTCAGATGTCAGGTCATCCCACACATCGAAGAAATCCAGATCTTCCTGTAGCTTGGGAGGCTGGTCCTGCTTGGCAGGCGATGTGGGCATGGCTGTTCCGACTTGGAGAGCAGTGACCTTGGCAGTGTTGCGTACTTCTTTCATTTCCTCTATTTCCACTCCCGATCCAGCTGTGTCGTTGAGTTCTTGAGCATGAGCGTTCGGCTTCACCACACTCGATGCCACTTTCCCCATCAGCACCGACCGAGACGGCAAGTCGTCGAAAAAACCGTCATCGTCATAATCACTGGACATAGTCTTCGGCCGACGGTTGGTGTTAACCCCACCACGCTCCGAAGAGGCTAACAATCCACTCGTCCTTTTCTTCTCGTACTTTCTCTCAGGCAAGGCGTTCTCCTCATCTTGTTCCTCCTCTTTCTCCTCCTTCAAGCTGTCCGCCGAGTTTTTCTTGTTCATACTCGCCGACAAAGTCAACTGACTGAGGCCGGCACTCTTCTGATTCGGAATAGCAGCCCGCTTCTTACTGGGTTTGGGCTGTTTCTCCAGGCCATCTCGGCAGCAGAAGTGCTTGCAGCTGTGCCACTACCAGTCAGCAGGCGAGATAGAATGAGAATTAAAGGAAGAAAAGTACCTCGTTTTGTCTTTGCATTTGTGATTGCATGCCCACCGTCCAGTTGGAAGTCGGACCGGCTCGTTTTCGTTTTCCTCATCCTCCAGCTGGACAGTACACATGTTTGGGTTTGTCGGCCAGGTGTCATTTATGGCGGTCCATCCGTGGGATTTGTGGGCTGGACGTGGCGGGCTGGGGGTGGGAGTATTGTCAATGGACAGCCAGTCTGCACTGTCCAGCTGACAGCTTAACGGCTCAATGAATTTCTTCGCTTTCTCGGGGCTCTGACTTGCAGCAAGGAAGTCGTCGAGTTCCAGGTCATCGCCGTCGAAGTCATCTTTCTCTCTATTGATTCGCGCAGATACATCCCCATTGCGAGAAATGCGTTGCGAAACGTCATTTCCTGGTCCGCTGGCGTTCTCATCGCGTTTAGACAGAAAGAAATGCGAAGGCAGGTCAGGTCTGATCTCAGCCTGTTTCCAGGTCCCCGCTATGCACCGTCAGTGTATCCCAGCCTCGTTTTGAGACGGAAAACGCACCGATATCATCACACATGACATGACAAACAATGAACTGATCTGGGCTCTTCACTTCTGCAGAGAGCTGTACTTGAAGTCCCTCCTGGAGCTTACTCGCACTTCAATAATATCAGTACCCAGCCGTAGGTTTGCATGTGAGTAACTGACCTAACCCGTCTGAAGTCAATCATTCGTCCATCCGAAGTCTGAGTCAAGGAGCAGACATAAACAGGCCGACGCTGAAAGAAGACAGGGACTTTGTCGTTCATAAATGCCATGTCCACTTTGAAGCGGATGATGACGGCGCCAATCTTCGTTTCCTAATTGCTTCTGGTCAGTGACAACTCCCAAAACAGATCGATAATATCAGACCTTGCCCATGATCTTCACAGCAACCCTCAACTTTGGAAATTCCTTGAGCCGTCCGAGCAGCTTGCTCCCAAAGGGCGGGTTCTTACTCAGAACCATCTCGATGCGATGCGCCTCCGTCGACTCCAGTGCCTCAATGCTCATAATCCCCGCCGCAGCCAGTCTGCGCACAGCAACAACACCCACCTGCTCGATCTGCTTCATCTGAAGCGGCGAGTGATCCCACACCTTCGCGCCGAAGCTGCGTGCCAGGGACAAGGCATTTTGAATGGCGACTGAATCGCCCCGCGCAATTTGACAGTCGATTAGACACCGAATCAATCTGCTGACATGCGCAAAGACCTGGTTTTTATCCTGCTGGAAGGGGAATTTGTGTTTTTGGAGCTGGTCACTGTCCGGGAACTCGATCGCTCCCAGCTCGGATTGGAGGAGAAGCGAGATCTTATGGCATGGCAGGGCGATGTCGACTTTGATCGGGTACCGGATGCCGGGGTCATTGTTGATCTCTCGGTACAGAGACTTTTCACCGGCTTTGAGTCTGAGTTCTCGGAATTCCTCGGCTTGGGAGATTACGGTAAGCTGGTAGTTGGGTTAGTTTAATCTTCGGCAGTTGTAAGTTGTACGTTATAAACTCACGGTCTGGGAAATGGTTGCCTGTGGCTTCAACGAGAGAAGCATCTTCATAGTCTCAAATCGGACGTAGTACCGTGCCATTGCTTCTCCAAACCCGGTTGATCGAAGAGCATCGGACTCCACCAGCCCACTTTCCTGAAGAAGCTTGATATCCTTGTCACAGATTTGCCGAAGCATCTCATCCTCGTCATCCTGGTTCGCACCCTCCTTGAGCTTGTAATGCGTGGGATTCCGTCGCAGACGAATGAACAAAAACGTGCCCGCAAGCCATTTAACCGCCGAGTCCACGTCAGAGACGTTCCCCAGCCCGATCTCCGCATTCAGGTGCTCAATCAGGTTGAGATGCAAGCAGCTTTCCAGGCTCTCAGAGCCAGAGACTAGTTTCTCGTAGTGAGCCACTCGTTCCTTGCGGGTTAATATTACTGCCGTGGCACTGTCGTCGAACTGGGGCCGGCCTGCTCGACCGAGCATCTGCATCATATCGAGATCGGAGTACTCTTTGCACCCGCCCTCTTGCCAGCCCACGGTGTTTTTGATGATCACCAAGTGGCAGGGCAGGTTGACTCCAACTGCGAGTGTTGGTGTACAGCAGATCACGCTGATTTCACCTCCCAGAAAGCCCTTCTCGACGGTATGGCGGTCTGCGGGACCAAGTCCGGCGTGGTGGAAGGCCACTCCCGCGGCGACGGTGGCTGCTTTTCAGTAAGCATTCAGCTGTCCATAGAATGTTGAGGGAATACATACCCTTCAGGTCGTCATTGTGCGATTCGATACGCTTGCTTGGTCCCTTCCAAAGTCTAGCTAGTGGATTGGTCATCGTCCACAGACGAGCCAGTTCTTTGGCAGTGGCAACAGTCGAGTTCCTGGTGCAGCAAAAGATCATGATAGGTCTCTGAGACGAGTGCATCCCAAGAACATCGGGAAGTCTACATATATCTCACTCAGCAAGACACTTCACGATCGTCCAGAAAGACTCGACTCACTTGGAAGCACAAATCTTATCAAAAGCAAAATCATTCGCGGTCGACTGATACCCATAAACAAATTTCTGCAACTTGACCGGCCGAAACTCCTCTCCGAAATGCTCTCTGTGCGCAGGAACATGCTGATTCGTGGCATCCTTGCCAAGCCACGTCGCGATGTCCTCCGAATTAGGGACCGTGGCGCTGAGAGCCACAAAGCGCACATTCGATCCGATATTCTTCATGCGCGAGACGACTGCTTCGAGGGTGGCACCGCGGGTTTCCTTGAGGATATGCACTTCGTCAATGAGGAACAGTTTAACCAGCTGCATGAGACGCATGTGGTCTTTCCATTTGCGGGTCATGCTGTCCCATTTTTCGGGCGTCGTGATAATGATCTGACTGTTCTGCACGCTGCGGAGCTGCGTGTAGTCTGTGTCGCCGGTGCACTCTGCACATTTGAGGTCCAGGGCGGATAGCTTGTGGTTCCAGTCTCGGAAGCGTTCTGCGCACAGTGCTTTCGTGGGCGCCTGGTAGACAACCTTGAATCGCTCGTCTTTCAGGGTGTTGAGGAGTCTGCAGATGGCTAGTTCCATGATAACCGTCTTGCCGCTACCCGTTGGAGCGGAGAGGACAAGATTTTCACTGGTGTTGTAGACAGCATGGAAGCATTTGGATTGGATTGCATTGAACAGCGGGAACCGAAAGAGCGATCTGTATGGTTCAGGGAGATCGTTCACGGAGACAAGAACGATCCCTCGAATAGAGGGTGGGATATCGGGGAAGGGGACTTTGGGGCGTGTTGCAGTCTCTGCGCTTTGATGGCATGAAAAGGGCTGGGAAGATGACTGCGTGGTATCTAGTTGATAGTACATGCGGTCAGTCTCAAGATAGCCCTGTTCCAGCGGACCTGCCTTCCGCATCAACGGGCTCGATGGGGTCGCTGATCCCATTTCTGAGGATCTGGACCCTGGGCCTCGCAGAGGGGTGATGCTAGCACTTGCTGGATTCTGTTAGCAACGAAAGTGGAGGGGTTGAACTGCCAGAGCCAAGTCACTCACGATGAAAGAATCTCGAAGTCTGCTGGGGAGCATTGTAGTACGCTTGATCGGACTGGTACGATCCCTGGAGAGGCGTAGATACAGGAAACCCCGAGTTCCCTCGAGGCATCGTCACTGCTGAAGCTTCGGTTTGGGCCAGTAGCTCGAGATCTGCTTGCCCATCAGCGGACGTGAAAGCGAGAGCGTGTGCAATTACCGAAGGCATCAAACTCATCTCCCTCGTCATCACAAGCAGGACGGATTGAGTCGTGGGGAGACCGCTGGGATCCTTCGATGAGCCTCTCGTCAATCAGGGCAGGCCTGGTGCTGTGGGTGGGAGTGGCAGGGTGGCAGTTATTGGGCCGCCACTTGGAGGTGGATGGGAAGCGGTTTGACTTGGAGAAGTGATGATTCTTTTGCATTGTGATTGAAGGGGCCAGTCATTGGAGATGGGCGGGAAGGATGGGAGAGGATGGAAAAGGGAAAGAGAGAGACTAGGTGACGGCACGTGGACAGTATGAGAACGTTTTCATTGCTTCGTATATATGCATGCATGACCGACATTCTCGGAGAGAGAAAATCGATCAAGAACAATTTAGAAGGCAGACAGAGCATCAAGCTAGTCACGGAGATTCTACCGTAAATCTCACCGGTCTATCAGATAGTTATTCAAAAGTCATTGAGCCATGAAGGAACAGCAAGGGTCCCCATTCCCCATTCATATCTGGACAAAGGTCATGTCCATCCCACCCTCTAGTTCTCGTCGAGGTAGTTACTAGCACTCACATTGCGACTGGAGCTGACGCGAGTGTGGCCGGGACCGGGAGAGTTGGGACGGGAGCTGGACATGCCGTCGGAGAGGAACGGGGTGCTGGGGAGCTTGATGGAGAAGTCGTTGGGCGAGTTCGAGACAGGAGAGCCCTGCTCTCCTGTGGAATCCTTTTCGTAGCTGTCCACCTGGATGGGAGGCGGGCGGACGCTTCCAGGGCTGAAGCTGGGGTTGCCGTAGTAATGTGTGCTGACCAGCACCGCGGCAGCACCAAGGATGAACTATACACAAAAGGTCAGCGCTCGCTCGTAAGCATTGGGATGGATGCAACTTACACTCCCAGTAAGCTCAAAAGAAAAGAACCAAATACTGCCGAGGATGCTGAAGATGATCATGCCGGTCGTGGCAAAGCTCCTGGCATCCCGCTGAGCATGGGTAATGTAGAAGCCCGAGATGAGACCGCCCAGAGCTTGCAAGCCAATGGCAGACCACACAGCCCAATTATATCCCTGGAAGAAGCCGTCATTGGCGATTTTCTCGCCATCCCGGAACACAACTCCAATGAAGAGAGCCGGGAAGGCAGAGTAGAAGGCCAATTGCACATTGCGAATCCAAAGAGACACGCTCGCAGAGCTATCGTTGAGCACTTTCTCAAAGTAGATGCCGGCAAACCCTGACGCCACCGAGGCTCCAATAGCTGCGAGCAGGCCAACTGCCGAGTCCAGATGCGGGTCAGCCGTCTGGATATCCTCCTCAATGCCCTCGTAGGTGGCAGAGCGCTTATGCAAATTCGCCGCCACCCCTTTAACAGCCTTCCACTCCTCCAATGAGCGCGGGAAGTGCACGCTCGCATTCTCATCCTGGAGGGACATCTGCTCGGAGTTGGCATCGGGTATCTGCACCAGCGCCACGCCCACCAGGAGAAGGAGAAGCAACCCCCACTTGCGGGCCCCGATGCTCCGTCTGAGGAGCATCAGCCCGAAGACGGCCATCGTGAAAAACTTCAATTGGAATGTAACCTGGAACGTGGCGGCCCGCAAGTTCGACAACGCAATGTACTGGAGGGAGTTGGATAGCACCTCGAACCCGGCGGGGATGGCTAGCTTCCAGGAGTCGCCCGAAAACACCGCGTTGGTCAGGGAGAAGAAGAGGGCGGTGGCGGGCATGGATGGAGGAGCGGTTTTGGAGACGTCGTAGAGGGCCATGGTGAGGGAGAGGGCGAGCTTGATCACTTCGTTCACGAAGACGGCGGTCGAGGTAAGGTAGCGTTTGCCGCCGGCAGGAGGCATCACTCGAGAGTAATGGGATAACTGGACCAAAATCAGCTTCGGCCCCCGGGGAGAGATGAGTCTGGCAACCTACCAATACGAAACCCGTGGACTGCATCGTCAGCTGCACGAGTAAACAAACAAGTCAGTCAGCTACTCGAGTCCCTCGCATACCCACCGTGTAGCGGGCAGCACATACCAAGATCCATGGGATATTCTTCGTCGCAGTCCGCAGCCACGACGACTGGCGTTGAGCGCGGTCTCCCATGGTCACAAGTTTTGTGTGTGGCAGGAGGTGGGTGAATTTTCCGCCGCTCGTAGGGAGCACAAGCACAAGAGCCGTCGTAAGGCAATTGGGTCTCACTTGTTCACTTCGGTGATGTAGGGAGCGACCAGAGATGGATGAAATCAGCGCAAAGGGTTAATTCAAGGACCGGTGAGTGGGTGGCCTGTCAGATCGACGAGCCAGACTGCCTGGGCCCCAACCTCCACTTCAGCTTTCGGCGATCGGTCAGGGCGAGGGAAGAATAATGAAGTGGCTGGGTAAGGACAGTGCGGACCAGCTGAGGAAGATCCGGGGTTATTTATTCTGTTCAAAGGAGAGTGAGATGGAAGAGAGAGCTATGCAAGGGAGAAGGAGAGGCAGGAATCTGGGGAATCTGAAGCCGCTGGATGAATGGGCGGTGTGGATCACGGGGACATGAGCTCGGGCGTTGCTATTGACCTTGTTTGGGCACGATCTGGGTGTCACGCTCTTCTTGTCGACTTGGTATTCATCCATTCTTATTTCCTAGCAGGTATCGCACTCATCCGGACCCCAAGAGACGCCATGTCCGCGGGACCCTTTGACGTCAAATAGTCCTCGGCCACGCACGGGGTCTTTTCGATGTCGTCCATCCTGTGGTCCAATATCGACGGCACGGGGACAACAACGCTAGCTGCCGTGATGCGTCCAGTCGGCAGTCCGCCAGTCCAGCCACCGTCCACTTTGGGCGCTTACCCCATGCACGTCATGCCTAATCTTAATTCGGGTTTGTAAAAGACAAGACTAGTATCTAGATTGTAGAATTGGGTATAAATGGACCATGTGTGTATAAACAAAGAAAAGACACTGTCGGTGATGAACCAAGGTTCTAATGCGATCAATCAAATGGCCAACAAGATAATAGAAGAGACGCCGGAGTCCGGTATGCATGAAGAGTCAAAGGAAGATGGCAGAAAGAGTGGGTGTGCGATCGAGCGAGAACACGAACGCAGGTCTTGATACAAATAACGGGGAAAACTTAAGAGGATGTGTATGAAGAAAGCTCAGTGCACAGCAGCAACGCTGGCACGGTCGTGGTTCTGGTTCCAGTCAAAGTCAAAAGACCAGAGCGGAAGAGATTGCTTATGCTTCGGATCATCCCCGCTATCCAACATGATCGCCTCACTGCTATCCGTGCGGCGGCGGGCATGCTGTTTCTGGTCCTCCGGGATGGCAGGAGGCGGATGATTTGGAGGCGGCTTGGGCGAAGGCAGCGGTGAGAAGCGGTGGATGGGCAGAGTCGGGGTGACCGGCGAGGTACCGCTGGTGGTGGCGGGCGAGGGCAGACTGCTCTCGGAGTAGGGCATGCTGAACCCGGGTGACACGATAGAGTTAGTTTTCTGTCCAGTATCAGAACCCGAACTCTGCGAAGAGGGACCGTCTTTGTCCGAGTGGGTGGCACCTTGATTCTGTGTGCCGGCGTAGATGGGTGGGAGACCCGGCGGCAGGACGGCGCTGAGGCGTAGGAAGGATGTGTCGGAGCCGCAGAATGAGTCGCGCGACGGCGCCGCCGAGATCATGGAGGTTCGGTCGGGCTGGTCGCCGTTGTAGTTGTAGATACTCGGCGTGATCTTGCCCTTGCGCACGCGCATTGCCTCCAGGAGATCCTGCTCTTGTCGAGTCACCGCAATAACACGGCTTCTCCGGTTCATGTCTCTAAGCTCTTGCGGCGTAAGATGTTTTGGCTTTGCCGGCTGGGCGACGGCCTGGGTAGCGTTTGACTGCCGGGACGGGGTTCGTCGAGTCGTGTTCGAGGCCACACCGGTCGATGACATGGATGTGTTCCTGCGCGCTGATTGACTCGGCTGACTGGGTTGGATCTGAGCCGAGCCGCGGCTGCTGGTCGAGGGTGCTCGCTCGAATCGTTTCAGAGTCGGGCTGATCATGGCATGTGCCGTCGAGGCAGTGTAAATTTCAGGCTCGAACTCCCCGTATGTAGCCACGCTATCCCGGAACTGTTTGTTGGCTGCAACGGGGTGGTTCTCTGCGGTCGGTGTGTGGTCGTCATCTTCACCCTCACTCTCAGATGAAGAGAGACATAGAACACTCGAGTTTTGCAAGTCCTTATTCTTCAAGGTGGTCTTGCTACTCTTCTTGGTCAACGAGCTCTTCACACTCCGCTTGTCATATGCTTCCTCGGGCGGAGTCATGAGTCGCTGACGGACCGAATCCATCCGGGAATTGGGTCCCAGATATGAGTCTTTGCGCCGACTACTGACAGATGGACTGTGCGTGGGCCCCGGGCGGGCGCCCGTCTCCAGGGTTTCCAAGGTACGTCCGCGGTCTGCCCGCAATTGCTCGCGGCTGTTGCTGTACACGCTAGAGCGACTCAACAGTGACCGCCGCGCGGCGTATCGGTCGAGAGCGAGATCAATCTCACTAGTCCCGACAGTTCGCTCCAGAGGGTGTTCAAACCACTCGCCATCTTTCGTCTCCGCGATTGACGCCAGATCCGAATTATCTGCCTGCTTGGAGGCCTCGGTTCTCTTGGCCCGATGCGGGGGCGCATCGGCTAGTCTGGGAACAGGCTTGCTTGCCGCCATATTGGGTCTGGTTGACGGATAGTCTGAAGTCACCGAGACGGGGGACGGCGACTTGGTCATGCGTTGAGGAGAGAAAAGAGGCGGTGCCGGGTTCCGTGGCTTCGGGAAGAGGAGGGAGAGATCAATTCGCGAGGGCCGCATCTTCCGCTTGGACTCTTTGGTTGGCGTCCGGGGCGGTTGATGTTGGTAGGTAACCTGCGGCTCGGCATGCAGCCCATGTCGTACTCTGGGTTGAAGACTGGGATCTTCGGTCGTTTTGGGCCGAGGATTAGACTCCTTCGAGGTGAAGTATGAAAAGAGGGTGGACGAGGAGCCGGATGGGTGTACTTTCTTTGAGGGTTTCGGGGGTGGCGGTGCAGCGTCGTGGGAGCGATAGTCTTGGCCCAACAGTGGTGACGAGGCTCGGACACGTAGATGGTGCGCCGGGGCCATGGCCTCTTGGGTGGAACGGCTGAAGATGCTGTTCTTGCGGGAGGTGCTGTCCGGAGTTCTGATATAGCTCGGCCGCCGTGCGTTCCTGGGTGGCTCCCATCCGCCA